TCCTTCTCGTCATCTGAAGAAGGATATATCTATCTATCAAATAAAAAAAACCGCAGTTTAATAGAATAAATTATAGTGAAGAAAAATTTGTTCAGAGATTGATATTTTGCAAAAAACTCAGTTTTGAGAAAAACGAAGATGACGAAAGTGATGGTTATTTATATAGTATTATGTCGAGCGATGAAGACGCATACGAACCAGGTGGTGATGATTTAGATTGAACTTTTATCTGCTTTTTATCGTGTTTGTTTTGAAATAAAATGAATATACAATGAAAAAAATCAACTAGTCATTTTTTTTGGGTCTATACAAGTAATAATAGTTCCAACTAACTTAAGTTTTTTTACAAAAATCCCACAAAAAACTTATAGATTCAATAATATCTTTATGGATTTGTAAAGTAGACAACTCAAGCATCATGCCCATGTGTTTATCTCAAAATCCATTTTTTTGACGAAAATCGACTTTTTGGAGGGGGGGGGGGGGAAGCCTTAAAGAATTTCGACAACTTTTTTGTTTTCATCGAAAAATTTATCTCTGATTCTCCTCATGGATTAAACAATAAATAAATTCAATGGAAACCCTACATATCCACCATTTTCTCCTCTAATAACTTTCGAAATTTCTTACTAATGTTCAAATAGTGTTTTGATGAAATTCATGTTTCGTCTTATCCCTGAGGGGTAAACTTTTTGATGAAAGAAAAAAAAAGTTCCAGAAATTTTTTAAATCATACATATATCAACTTAGTTTTCCATGCTGATTTCGAATATCATATTAGTTTCCATTAATTAACCAAGAAAAGTACTCGTGAATACTTCATTACAATCAACACACATAGTTCTAAATGAACAGCGAACTATCATCAGTTGAGCAACTTCTTTTTTTTCTTTTTTCTGTTCTGGAAACATTACCTGACACGGCTGATGTTGGTTTAGCAGCATCACCACTTGTATTAATTACAGCTACTTGAGCACCGGATGTCACATTGTCTCCCTCATTAACAAGTAAACTTTCAATTGTACCTCCTGTCGGTGCATTAACACTTAAATTTGTTTTATCGGTTTCAATTTCAGCTATTGTTTCATCAGCAGATACTTTGTCACCGACTTTTTTTAAAAAACGAATTGTACCATCTTTAACCGATTCAGGAAATGATGGTGTTGGAACCTTTATTGATTCGACTAATCAAAAAAACAAAAAAAAATAACAAACAACTAATTTGTATTAATCGAATAATAAAATAAATACATACAAAGAATTGAACTTGTATGAAGACATCGATTCAATGCATATACATTAGCATGAGGTGTATCGATGACGAATGTTTGATCAGAAAGTGTCTATAAAGAAGGAAAGGTGATTTTCTTTTTTCTCTTTATGAAAAAAAGATTTCCCAACGGGTGTCTAATTTTTCTTTGTAGATTTTTAAGATATCAAACTCGGACTATCTAATATGATTTTTTTTTGTAACAACGTTATTCTTTTTCTTTTGTTCATAAATTTCTTACTCGTTTTTTAAATCGATCTTGTTCCGCTGATAAAATTCGAGTTGCCGATTGAGATATTGCCGAAAACGAACATTGTTGTTGATGTAAATTCGTTCGATGTGGATACGTTGTAGATTTTGTTGCAGCAGCAACAACTATTCGTGTTGTTGAATTTGACCGTAGTGCACGTAATGATGCACTACGCAATGAGACAATATGAGACATATCTATCTAAAATAACGACATTCAAATAAATAAATATCTGTCCCATTGATATTCAATAATACGAAATTAAAACAAAAAAAAAGAAAAAGGTCGAGAAGAAAATGACTATAATTCGAACATATAGAGCTCACCTGAAGGTAGAGTGACTATGGTCTTCCTATACGAACAGGTCAACTCTATATGTCATAACACAAGAAAAAAAGCGTAATGTAAAAATTTATCTTGCAATAGACTAGTACACAGTGTCATGGATATGTACAACAACAACAAAAAAAAATATGTGAAACAAAGTGTAATATGCATATGAAAATCAAATATTGAAAATACATATACACAAAGATAAACATCCAAGATATACAATAGAGGTAGAGGACTACAATAGAATAATAAAAATAATAAATATATGACCAATCCATATGAGTTTATAGTATATAAAAATAAAACAATACATCACCATGAAATTAAAAAAAAAGTAAAATTCGAAGACATACTCTTAATTATTTGGATTATAGAATAATAATAGATTATTGCACTTATTCACCACGATATGTAACAATATTTTTTTCTGTTTCATATAATTTAATTTCATATAATTGTACATTATTATATTGTTGTTGAATAGGTAACGATAATTGTTTCCATATAAATACAATTAAATTTTCTGTTGTACTAACAATATTTTTTGTACGAAAATATTCAACATCTAAATCTAAATGTTTATGATCGAGTAAATTAAGTACATATATCTGAATTAATTCCTTTAGATTACTAATATTCATTACCATGCCTGTTTTATTATCAATATGACCGACAACAGTTACTTCAACTACATAATTATGACCATGTCCATTTGGATTATTACATTTATCAAATATTTGAATATTATCACTATCAGATAAATGTATGGAATGAAGTCGATGACTTGCAGAAAATGTTTCTCGTCGTGTTAAATAAACTTTTGGTGAATGAGACATAATCTTTTCTTTTTAATCTAAAATAAAACCGTATTATTATTATTATTATTATTATGATCATTATATCTTCCCCTCACCCCAAAAAAAAAAAAACATAAATAAATAAATAAATAATAAGCAAAATCGTTCTATCTATCTATCTTATTGCAATTATGATTCAATTAAATATTTTGAGAAAAAAAAACAAAAAAAAATAATAATAAAAATTTAATCTTATCACAACAAAATCGCTGAAATAATTTATTGATATGATTTTATATGAAGATTATTAATTAACCATTTATCATTAACTGTCCAAGCCTGTTCACCGGCAATAAATGTTGATAATACATTTAATTTATCATCAAGTAAAATAAAATCAGCATCAGCACCAAATGATAATGTACCTTTTTGATTTTCAATATGAAGTACTATAAATAATAATAATAAACGATATTTTTTTTCATTTATGTAAATAATATCTATTATTTTTTTCAAGATATAATTCAAACAAAAAAATTAATAATGAAAAATTTTCTATCGAATATTTTTGAATACATATTACATAAGAATATCTTTTTAATGTTACTTTATTTCAATGCTACTGTTGTTATTCTAACTATTTGTGATTACATTTCCTCACCATTCTCTTATATAATCCTTCAGAAATACAATACGGAAGTAGTTCATATATTATAACGAAACGTTATTGACATATGGTCTATGATCATTAATTAACAACATCTGTCACAGTCTGTGGCGTTTCCATGGTTACGTTTGCCGCAGTCTGTAAGAGGAGTCCAAATTTCTGCTTCTATACTTTAACATTCCTTTTAGATCGTGTTGTACAAAAGTAGGAAATTTTTCTAGAATTAAATATAGTATGATCTCTCTCTATACAAGTGCCTTCTTATAATGGATAGTCTCTAGTCTGTCTTAAACAAATTTTGCTAGAAATGAGCACCTCCTTATTCTGAATAGGGGGCGCTCATTTCCGGTTCAATGAGAAATAACGAACTTCTGTAATGTAAGCAGCATATGTTCTATCATTCAGGCATAGAATGATCAAAAACACCGTGTTATGATAAACAATCATGGGATAAATATAAAAAGAGAATGATCTAATCGTGCATATATTTAAAAGACAATAACAATAATGCTTGATATAAGATTTCATTATTTTTGTCTTAACAACTAGTAATATTAAATCGTATCAACATGAAATGAATTAAAGCAATGACAACTGAATATGTATACGTTGCATAAAAAAGAAATTAAAAATCTCTTATTAATAAGCACCTCCGTAAAGTGACTACTTTTGGTCAGTCCAGATGGTGCCCATATTAAAGAAGTTTTACTATATTTCAATATTTAAATCTAGATGATAGAATGAAAAATTGTTTTGATATCAATATTGTGTTAATTTTGATAGATATAAAGTTGCATACTGTCAAGTCTTTTTCGAAGATTTCATTTCTATATGTTAATACTACTGAAAGAATATTCTCGATTTATTAAATGTGATGTAATATTTTATAATCGAACATAACTGTATTAGTATCAAATTTCATATCTCATTAGAATAGTGTACAACTTTTTAATTAAACACTTTTTCACTCTACCATCAACAAGAAACATTGATCACCGACGAATAGTTGAACTATTTAATTTTAAAAAGAATTCAACCCATACTCATAAAAAGAGAAAGGAACAATTGATCGCATATTTCATAGAAGCTTAATTCATTAAACTTCTATTTGCTTGCATGTAATTCAATCGCATATACTACTGCGTCAGGATAAGAATAGCATATGAAAAAAAGAAGATTTGCAGTATAAAATAAATTCGTACATGATCTCGGTGGTATATAGTAATTGAATTTTTTACGAAAAATCTTCAACTATTCATTTGAAGCATGCCTTAAAAAACATGAATAGATATTATTTACATAAATATTCATTATAATTATATTGATTAAATTATTGTGTAACTATTTTTCTTAACCTTTGATTTAAAATAGATCGCGATTATGTTTCATATCACATGCATACACTCAAAATATCAACGCAATATTATAAAAGAATAGTAACACTTCCTGAGAGGCAGCTATGTTTGTCCAGAACTATATTTCGATTGTGAGAAATTTAATAGTCCGATATTTTTCCTACAACTAATAATACAGGATGGGTCAAAAGTCATTGGACAGTCTTTAATTTCGAAAAACTTTTACTAGAATCAAGATAAAAAGTTACGACTTCCACCATTCAAAAGAGGCTCTGTTACTCCATAGTTCCATATACTATTTAACAGTATTGCTTGTTGCCATGGTAATCAGTCAATGGTCTTTGGCAAACTATTGGTAGCTCTATGAAAATAGCATCGAAGTTCAATTCTAAAGGGTACGTTTGAATCACGCTCATCATTGTCGCTATCTAGTGTTACATCTAACACTTTCTATCAGAAGAAGATAATAGGTTCGGTTATTGGCATTGGCGTAAATTGTTATGTTGATCCTATCAAAAGTTATTCGAAATAAAAGAGTACCCAATGACTTTTGGCTTATCCCATAGCTATAGCTCTGGAACGGACGCTGGCCTGATACAGAGCTTTTGAGCTTCCTGTATATACTAATTAGCCACGCAAACAAGTGTCTGTCGAAACGTAGTCAACATGTTATCGGACAAGCGATCCGAGACAAACCGTTCTTATTGATCTGTCCATAAACTCATGATACCAAAGTTTGAATACAGTACCTTTGTACATACGTATCGAACTATGTAGATACTCAGCCATTCAGTTCTCGAAACAAGATCATTCTCACGATATATCTTATTGATTTTTTTTAAATCTAAAAAATAAAAAAAACTCAAATTCAACATTTACCTGAAGCTGGATGAACTGTTGCTGCTTCAATTGATTCGACAATAAATTTATTTTTATCTTTATCATCGAAAATTTTTTTTTCATTAGATTTATTTATTTCACCATCAAGTAAAGCTTGTCTCATATTTTGAACACATTCAGCTAATGATGCAATACTACCACATAATGTTTGTGTACCAGCAATAGTTGCACGTTTTTTTTCAACAACTATTTCATCAGCACCCATACGATAAATACCATCGGGCAATCCTAATGCTGGTACAGCATCAGTAACAAGAACAAGACCTTGTGGATGAACACGATGTGCAAGACGTACAGCAGCTGAATGTGTATGTATACCATCAACAATTAAACCATAATGAATAACAATTGTTGCTGGAAGACGATGACTTGTTAATAGACCTTATTTGTACAATAAAAATTTTTTTTTAGAAGATAAAATTTTTTTTTTTTTTTTTTTTATTTTCTATTTATACCAACAAGACCAGGATCACGATGATGAAATGGAAGCATTGCATTAAATAAATGTGTAATAAATCGTGCACCAGAACAAATAGCACGTTCACCAATATCAAGTGAAGCCATTGAATGACCAATTGAAACAATTAAACCATATTTTTCAATTAATATAGGTATTACATTTTCAATCATATTAGGAATTTCAGGTGCAATTGTAACAATTGAAACATTATCAAATGAACCATAACAAGATAATAAATCTTCAATACCATGTGGACTTTCACGTAGAAAATCTGTTCGATGTGCACCACGTTTATCTTCATTAAGAAATGGACCTTCAATATGAATACCTAAATAAAAAAAAAATTTTATTTTTATTTTTTTGAATATATCATTTGTTTTAACACTAACCAAGAATAGTTGCACCATCTTTTGCTGAACCAACTTGTCGTTTATATTTTGGTAAAAGTATTTTATATGTATCAATACTTGAACTAACAATAGTCGGAAGAAAAGCTGTAACACCATGTGATGTTAATTTTCTTGCAACATCAATTAATATATTTTCATTGACTTCATTAGGTGATGAAAAATCATGTCCAAATGCTCCATTGATTTGTAAATCTATATAACCAGGTGCTATTAATACTCCTTGACAATCATATTCAATATCAGCTTGAATTTTTTCATCGAAAAATATTTTCTCAGGATCAATAATTTTTCCATGACGTATCCAAAGATCATCGATAATTAATGCATGATTACGCATTAATGTACAATTACGAAAACGATATATTGTCATTTGAAAACGAGTAATTTTTGTTTTGCTTGTAAACTTCACCGAAATGATGTCATAATGTTTTCTTTTATATATTTTTTTTTTTTTATAAATATTGAGTAAAATATAATGTTGTCGAGAAGAGAGAGGCAGGCAAGCAGCCATTTTTGCATTCTTCTGATGATATTTACATGACCAATAAAAGATATATTGAAAGATTTTTATTCAAGAGGTCGCTAGATTTCTGTGTAGATTCGAATCGATGTATTTTTATTGAGGTTGGTTTGATTTTCAAACAAAAAAAAAATCGAAATCTAGAATTAAAAAGTTAGATTTTGTAAATATGATAGTTTTTATATAATATTTGTTTTCTTCTTTCTTTCGATAATTATCATGACTGTTTGAATTACCTCATATTTAATGAAATCATTCAAGCATAAATTTACGTGATGAGAAAAGAAATAAATCGAATGTAATTTTAACTCTTTGCTCTTCTATTAGAATAGAAACAAAAAAAAAAAACAAAATAACTGAATAACAATCATATTAAGGTTTGTTTTTTTTTTTTACAACAGATACCTGTTAACATTAATTAGATACGTGATCTTCTCTATGTTAATTGCAATAAAAACAGATAATAATATGCATGTGCATTACAAAAACAAAATCTATTAATCCTTTACCCCTTGTATGGTAAATGTCGACAAAAGTTACTATTATGGAATAAAATATATTTCAAAATTTTCATATAAATTAGTTGAACAAGAGATTATACGACATAAAATAGCAATTGAAGTTACCATTGAGAGTAATGATATAAGAAAAAACAAAAATTTAGATATTCTTCCTTAAACATAATACTTGTTAATAGTTACGCATAGATAAGTAAACAGATTGCAATTATCGAGTTAATAACTATATATTTTCATTGATAATTTAATTACTTTGATTTTATGTATTTTTGCGAACTACTCACAAAAGATAAAAAATAGAATTTTTTATTTTGCTACTCTCCGTGACCAATGATCGGTTTGATATATCTATTGGCCTACTGAGGAAGCCAATACACTATTTTAGTAAGTGTTTCATTAGTAACTCTTGTGGAATTATTTTATGGGAAGTGTAAAGAGTAAAAATCATTTATTTAGATGCCAGATTATCATAATCATTTGATTATGTTTAGTGTTTTACCTAGTGTGTGAAGGCCAAGAGGATGGTGTCGTTTCAAACATTGAGTTAGTCCTTTCGGAGTTTGCATTTATTGTACCACATTCAACAGTACTGGTCAAAAATATAACACTAATGTATTTTTTTTCTAAGATAGCAAATGTTTACCTTAAAGCCAAATAGCCAAATGCATTTTATATCGAAATTTCATAGATGAACTACGAGAGGAACGTATCTAAGAAGCCAAGCACTGCCATTTTCTGTTCCCAGAAGACGAAGTGAAAATTAGATTTTAAGAGCACAAAATTCTGATTAAATATGTGAGAAGTCACCGCATTTCCTACGAACTTCATCTAATAAGTTATAGGCATAATAGAAAATTTTTAAGAAAATGAAATTTATCATAGTTTCTTCATTTTATTTGAAATTTTATGCTCTTAAAATTAAAGATACATCTGTCTTACATTTTTGATGACCATCCGCATGTACCCTGTGCTACGAACAATTGATATTTATTTTTTCACAGTTTTAAATCGTCATGAAAAGCTTGATAGAACACTGATCATATTTGCATTTTGAATAATCGTTCATGAAGCATGTGTAATTATTTTATTCTCACGAAGTTATAACATATTATACGATTTCATATATTAATCGTATGTTTTTATTATTATTTTTTTAAACAAAAAAATGATCGATTCAAATAATTCGATATACATCTTTTATCCAATGGATTTTTCTATTAAAAGGAAGCATACTCTTATTGTTCTCTATTATAAAAATTAAAGGTCATCCAGTTGATCATCTCCAATTACATTGAATAAATACAGACTGAAAACGAATCATGGTTATTTTTTTCCAAACATAAAAATAATTCAATACTATTTTATAATAATGATAAATTTACCAATAAATGTTACTACAACAAATAAATTTTCTACATATGATACACAAGGTGCTATGATATATATTCTTGGTATTTTTATATGGTATACTATTGGATTTAGTCTTATACTTATTAATAATATTATTCGACGAAAAGATCATTTTAAAGAATATATACATTCGAATATTTATCAATCAATTCATAATTTACATAAACAACAAATACAAAATAATATTTTAATTGAACTTAAAGATAAAGATAAACGAAAAAAATTATGGGAAATCTATTATGATACTAAAAAACAAAAAAAAAATAAAAATAAACAAATCGTTAATTCAATAATAAAATTGGTCAACATTGTTGTTTAATTCGAAATATATTTTGTAACATAATCTTTGATCAAGCAAATGAAAATAAAACTGAAACATAATTATTAATATTCAACAAAACAATTAAATAAAAAAAAAATACAAATTTTTGATTTTTATCTATACTTATCAATAGAATGAAGTATAACCCCAGTGGTACTTGCATAGTGCGTCATACAAGGAAATTCTCTATACAAAAGAATGTATCTATCCTTGCAAGAACGCCTACGCAACATACAACATAATAGGGATCAAAGTTTTACAAAGTAAACTGTCAATAAAAAAAAAAAATATGTATGTAACTGAGACATATTGAAACGATATTAATAATTGGTTAGTTATAAATATGGATCCTTTGGTATGTAGTTTGAATAAAGAATAAAAAAAACAGAGCTTTGAAAAAAAAAAAAAAGAAAATTATTGCCACTTACAAAAACGGTCGACGAACGCGTATTAAGCATAAAAAAAAAAATTTTTTTTACAAGCAGCACTGTTTAAATAAGAATATTGACAATTCTAGGTAGCGTTGGCAGAGGGAGAGAGAGAGAGAGAGAAAGAAATGACATGTTACTTATTGCTGCTGATGGTCGTAGTACCTGTTTTGCTTGCATGTTTGTTCTTATCGGATGGCAGTCGAAAGCACTATTTGCTCATCTTATTTCTCACGGTTTTGACTGCATCAAAATGTGAAGAGAAAAGAACATAAAAGCTCGATCACGCAGAAACAAAAGTTGCTACAAAACTCAATGTGTCGTTTTTTTCTTATGGAAGGAAAAAAGTATATTGTATAGGTGTATAACACATAAGATTCATATTTTTCGTAGAAAAAGAAACGAAATAAATAAAAGATTATGAAATAGAATTCCCTTTTTTTTTTGTGCCCTTATATATTGGATCATTTAACACACCAAAATCTAAAGTAGAACTCTGTTCTTCTTCTGCTCACAGATGTGACAGATTTTATTAACATACAATCACAGACTGTATATTAGTAACGATTCGTTATAATATAGAAACTACTTCCTTATTGCATTTCTCTAGAATTAAGTAACAAAAATAAATGGCGAAGAAATGTGTTCCAAAACAATCTCCTTGTGATTAGCAACAGCAACTATATCGTATTTTACATTTTAATCTCGCAGAGATTGTACTAATAGTTTTCTTTTAGGTTTTTCGTTTTTGTTTAATTAATATTGGATGCAATAACGAAACTTAGTATTGATCACGATATATAAAATACGTATAATATAAATATGATTGTAACATACAATTAGAGTTTTTTGACGATAATCATAATACAGAGTGTTCCAAAAGTCCATGAGAAAAGTTTTTGTGAATAGCTCCTCAAGAGTTCATTCGATTGATATATTTCTTTAATAATATAATATTCTTTGAAGTTTTGTTAATGGTCAAACTTGAATCACCTGTGATTATGAAACAAGAAGTGCAAGTCGAGTTTGATAAAAGATACACCAAGGATAGGTCGCATTAGAGTAGAGTTCTAGAACTTGCGGGTTGGGTAACCGTACCAATATTGAATAGGAGTACGTGATTGATTGGTATCGATAGGGTACGAGTACAGTATGGGTAGGATAAGGGTGTGGGTAAGGTAAGGGTACGAAAAGTTGTACCCGTGCAGTCAGAGACGGCGCGAAGAGGTCAGAGCAGGAGGGGGGTATCCCGAAAATCGGAGCCTCCAATCCCAAAAAGTCAAAATTGAAGAGCAAAAAAAAAACGTTCCCACTGTTGAAATTCGGAGGAAATCTCCAAACTTTTTTGGTTGCCATCGCTTTCTTTTCGAAGCAGACTTTCCGACATTCCTTCGACTACTCTGACCGCACTTCATACAATATTATACCAATGGTACCAACAAAAATCTGATTTTTTCTTTTTTTTTTTTCAAAATTTTATTCTTCGCTCAGTTATCGTTAACATCCACGTATCATATATTGCTATTGATGACAGATGCATCTAGTTATAATACTAATTTCTCGCTTAAACACGAACTTAGATTATTGATGTAGTTCAAAAATCTCAAGAACCGAAAAAAAATAGTAGAATAGATTTCTTCAAACTTAGATTTTTGCCAAATTTAGGGTCGATTGTCTACTATTTTTCTCCAAAATCGGAGAAAATTGACTACGGTAGTTCTCCAAAATCGGAGAAGATTGTCTACTATGGCTCCCCAAAATTGGAGAAAATTCTGTACTGTAATTCTCCAACATCCAAGAAAATTGTGTACTTTAACTCTTCTAAATCGGAGAAAATTGTGTACTGTAGTTCTTCAAGATCGGAGAAAATTGATTATTGTATTTCTCGAAAATCGGAGAAAATGGTCTATCGTAGTTCTCCAAAATCGGAGAAGACTGTCTACTGTACTTCTCCAAAATTGGAGAAAATCGTCTACGGTAGTTCTCCAAAATCGAAGAAAATGGTCTACCGTAGTTCTCCAAAATCGGAGAAAACTGTGTACTGGAGTTCTCCAAAACCGAAGAAAATTGTCTGCTGTAGGTCTCCAAAATCGAAGGAAATTGTGCACTTTGATTCTTCAAAATCGGAGAAAATTGTCTACGGCAGTTCTCCAAAATCGGAGAAAATCGCCTAATGATCTCGCAAATTTGGAGAGAATTGGCACTACCAAAATTTTCAAATTCGGAGAAAGCTCCAATCAAAATTTTCCGAAGCAGGGGGGGTGACCCCCCCCCCCCCCCCGGCGCCTTGCCCCCGTGCAGTACTATATGTTAGAGCTATATTTCAATGCTTTTGTGAAATTGGTACAGTGGAAGATAGAGAAAGTTCTACAAGACAGTCAAAAGTTACGAATGAAAATATTGACAAAGTTAATGATGTCTGTAAAAATCGACCACAATCGTGTGTCCGGACTGTTGCAACAGCCTGCTGCATTCCAACAACAACAGCATACAGAATTATGACCGAATATCTTTTATGAAAACCGTACAAAGTACAATTTATCCAACAACTTTATGAAGAAGATTTACAAGATCGAGTTGAAATGATGAAATCTTAATACCAATATTAGAAAATATCGACAATCCGGTGAACTTGATTTTTTTTTCGGATCAATTTTCTTTTCATTTAAATGATTTATTGATAAATATAAACTGAAAACCTATATGTATAAGACATATATAAAACTTTGGTTGAATACAAAACAAATACCGATAATGAGAAGAAATTGATTCGAAAATAAATTTTCTGCAGTATTTTTATAAAGACTTCGAAGAGAATAGTTTTATATATTGCAGTTGATGGTAATCTTTTTTGAATATTTTTTATAAATAAAATTATATGAAATAAAATTTAAAATAATATATTATCATTTTATTTTAAAGAAAAGCAATTAAATCGCTTGAATTGTATAAGTAATATTTACGTAAAGTTTTCTTGCAGATTTTTGAAACATCCTGTATAATGAATTCGATTAATTGTAAATGCAAGTTTTCAATCATTTACTATTCGTATAAAATATTCACTTCTACACAGAATCTTTTTTTTTTCTTTAATTTCAAAGCAATCAATATACTGAGGTATAGTGTATATTCCCTACTGTGGTACTAAAAACAAAACGAAAAAATTCTCGATGAAATCGTGTATCTTTCAAAACTTTAAACAACAATTTAATGTAAAAATTTGGGATATAATAAATTTTACATCCATTTTGGAGCTTTGCAATTGAACTTTATCTCAAAAAGGAAAAATTCATTGTTTAAAAGTTCATCATGAAGGATATTTATAACTTTTCCGTAAAGCTTGGATATTTGAAACTAGATACACGAGCAACGATAAGTCGTAGGGGGAATATACAGGATATACAAAATGTTTGGATTGTCATAAAAAGGCAAAATGTTCTTTTTAAAAGTAAAGTTCTTAGTTTTATAAAACTTGAAATTCTCTATGTTTTGATATGTAAATGAATATTTTGTATGAGATTTTAATGAAAGAAAAATTGTATTTACATGTAATACAATTCATTATAGTCCATCGGCTACAAAGATAATCATGTAAAAAATGAAAAACAGTCGATAGAAACAAAAAATAGCAGAATGATATTATTTTTGTTTATTTTTATTTATATGAACCAAAAGCTATCAAAAGAATGATTAAAACGATTAGGATAATTACAAATTGATGTACAGCGTGCATAAGAATGGTTTTTTCAAAGAGTAGTACCGTGATTTCAAATAGAATAATCAATAAATTTTATACCACATGCAAGTTGATTTAAAATCAAACTCATAAGTCCAATTAGTAGAGCCTGTCAAGTCTACAATTTTTGTATCTGTTAGACAACCTTGACGATAATCTTTATAATAATCAAATCATAATTGTTTGTTATTTTTAGAGTATGACCGTTAGATTGAGTCCAGATCTAAACAGAGTCTGGGACCAACTCGATGGGCTCTACCAATTGTTAATCTATAGAGTGATTATAAACTGTAAAATTATGAAATTTCTCAAAGTTTTAAGAATATGGCTTAGTAATTCTAAAGATAGTTCGTCATAATAAACATAGGATTTAGGAAAAAAAGTTTTTTTTTCAGTCAGACTTTGTAGGATTCACTTTGTTGATAGAGTTTCAATTTATTGCAAACATGACAGTGCTTAGATGAAAATACTGTAAAATCTCAAACATCTCGGTCTGTTAGAGCTATGATGCTTTTTTGTTTTTTCGTATTTTTCAAACAAATGGTTAGTAAAGAGAACTTTGCAATCAGTGAAAGCCGAAAAATATTTTGCTGGGAATTTTGTGCTTTTTTGGTTGACTATATTTAGATGTATCAAACTTGATTCTTAAAATTTTGAAAAATTTTATAATTTTATAGTCTTTAAACATCCTATAGATTACTAATTGAACTTATAAGTGTTACTTTCTACGAACTTTTATTTGATATAAAAATTATTAATTATATTACTCGATATCAAAGTACTATTTCTCCAGAAAAAAGTATTTTGACGTACATTGTACATTTGATCATTCA